GAACCATGTGCATTTGCTGCCAATAATACAAATAAAACATATGGAATATCTTTTAATATAAAAAAAAATGTATTGAGCAGAGTTGTACCACAAAAACAGCTGCATTGCTAGATAGCAAAATCCCTGTAGATCATAGTTCTGCAGTTTCAAAATGGATCTGTAAATATAACTCATATTTCAACTCACCCATAATCAGAGACTATTTGATCTATCAATATTGCAGATTCTGAATCCATGGCATGATGGGAATTTTTATCTTTTCCTGAGATACTGTCATCCTATATATATGAACCTATAGTCTCAGACTTCAATGTGAGAAAAAAAAAACAAAGGTCTGAATGTGAGCCGACGGACAATTTAAAAAAAAAAAAAGAAGCATCTGATATTTTAATATAAAAATCTTTATAAACATCAAAATTTTATGCCATTTTTTTTTAGGCATATCACAGATGGTTGAGCAGACATTGTTCTTAAAAAATCAAATGATTTCAGATGGAATCACCGGACTGCAAAATGCTAGATGTAAGATGTCAGATCTCATGGTGTTTCTGGCATAACAGTATGAATGCTACCTGGAAGATCAAAGAGGACGTGTGTTTGAAGTGTGTATATACTTCTCTGCAGCTCACCAGAGACTCTGGAGTGCAGCTCCTCCCACTCGTCCTCCTCCTCCTCCTCCTCTACCCTGCTCTCCTGCAGCCCCCAGGCCTCCTGCTCCACCACCTTATCGGCTCTGTTTGTACAGGCCCGAGGGGAGGTCCGGGTCTCGACATAGTCCATCTCTCGCTCCACTCTGTCCACTCGGACGCCAGCTCCTTCCAGGTCTTTGAACATCATGCTGTGATCATTCTTCAACCCATCCATGGTCTCAGCCGTAAGTTTCTTGAAATCTTTCATCTCTGTGTGGTACCGGTGGGACAGGTCGTGCCACAACTGCATGCGGTCCTATGAGACATGGAGACAATAGCACAAGTGTTACAACAGAATGTAGAAGGAGTTTTTTTCTGCTTTTTAGGTGAAGCGCTACATGAGAAAAAACACTTCTTAACTGTAGGGAAGCCAGTGTCGCTCAACCTGTCTGTCAGATTGGGGAAGATAAGTCTGGCTCCTCAAATGTAAGATGCGTGCTGGCAAAGCGAGATTAGGGGGGACTGAAATACCTCAGCAACTATGAGACAGACTATCAAGAAAACATGTCTAGACTTGGGATGTCCAGATAAAATCTCAAAGATCTGGATCAGGGAACATCAAGGCTTTTCTTAACCAATCTGTACTAGCATGAACCTAAGTCCAATCCCTTGTTTACATTTGCTGTTGTCGCTTTGTACACAAATTCTGAACAGTTTTCTGAAACACAAACCAAAATATTTATTTGTATTCTTGCCCAGATATCATGGATTTAGTCAAGGAAAACAAATGTGCCACTATTGCATATGGCTCTGGGATATGGGAACAATATTCTAATAGATCCCAACTCTTTATAAACTCTGGAGCTCTGGCTGGAGGTCATTAAGCATCACAGAAATCTTTGTCATGGTGTCTGTTGTTAGCTAAACCCACCACAATGCTTTCTGCTTTCCAACACTACAGATGGCTACAGTTAGAGGCTCTACCTGGTGGTGCAACCAGATACTACAGATAATCTAGAAAAACTTAAGGATACTTGAAGTGTGTATTAAAAATGGTTTAGGATTGGAACTTGGTATTGCCAGATACTAAATAATGAACGTAATCTATCAGATCATGTGCAGATAAACTTGATTGGGACATCCTTTCTATAGACCTCTCAATGTATATAGAAATTCATAATGCACCAACACTTTTTCTCACTGCATAAACTGGACACTCCCATGTTGCAACCAGAGTCTGTGCAGTTCTTTCTCTTTCTCCACCTCATAACCTAACAGCAAGTTTTGATAAAGACTGGCACTGTGCAATAAGACAGGCCTGCTCTCTGAATTAGCCATACCAGGGAATTAGCAAATGACAGTGCACACCTCCCAGCGTGGACAATTTCTATGAAGAACACAGCCTGAGATTTTTAATTTAATTAAAGAAATACGTGCAAGCCAGAGCGTTTTTCTCCTCCTCTATAGCAGAATGATGAGGTGCAGCCAGATCATTCTCCAGTGGAGATTGGTCTGGCTATGCGAGACTCCCAGACGGTGGTCCATGTTTTCATATGAATCCACACAGATGGTGAACCTTAGGTGCCATAATTACAAATTAATCATTTGTGCGCCTCTCATCAGGCAGCGACTCACATTGGGTAGCAACATGTACATAGATAGTGCCTCAAACCTGCATTCTCTCTCACATCCAGCAGGTCGCGACTCCTCTGGTTGCAAAAAGAAGTCAGACTGTAAAGAAATCTAGAAAATGACCCTGCTTCTCACCCTATCTGTTATCTCAGTAAATATTTTCTTAGTCAAAAATGGAAACTAGAGGCTTCTGAATGATCCAGTCCACAAACCAATGGGTGACTTCATAGTCACCATGTCCATCTTCTGTATACGGTCTGTGTGTACACATCTGTGACGTGCTAAACATCCGCATATTGTCATTGTGAGTGTTTGCATCCTGACCTTGCAGTTTGCTGCAAAGCACCACAACAACAGAGCTGCCAACAGGTCCCCAGACACATAGTGTTATTTCCTATAATGATAAATCTCTTATAGTAAAATGTACCTGTTTCAATCAAAGCATTTTCATCATCGCCAAATAGAAAACAGCGCTTCGTTTCTCTGATTGACTCAGCGCGAGTGGCAGGTGAATTATACAGAGCCAGATGTAATAACTGACGGCTCCACACTGTCTCCTCCACCTCAGTTTCATTTTCCTCCTCTGCTTGCTGTGGGCCCGTGGTCAAATGGAAATGAAAGTTCAATGAAAGCTCGCTGATGAATTGCTGTGTTCATATCAATGCAGGAGCATTGTGCCAGCATATTGAAGCTGAGACTGGAGGGAAGCCACGGGGGGCGAAGTGAGCAGGATTGAGCCGCAAATAGACAATTCATTTCATGCTTGTAACAGTTTTAAGATTGTCATTCTTGCATCGCAGCCAGGCAGTTGATGAGAAAGGAAAATTGTGACTCTGTAAACGTACTCTAAAAAGAAGAGATTAAAGGAATTATTTAAATTACACCCTGAGGTAAGCAGACATGTAATCCTCTCGCGTTTCACGTCACATTCACCTCAAGCCAACAAAAGTCATTTTTACACAAAGTTTGCTTGCTCTTTTTAATGACGCTGACACAGATGCCTCCCTTTTGAAAAAACAATACTGCATTGTTAGTAATTTGTTTCGTTCAATCCACCATTGCAGAACACGTCTTTCTATTAGTCCGCTGGAATGTTTGATGCCACAGCAGCAAAGGTTGAGCTTGTACTCATTACTGGTGTGTCATTGTCTCGAAACACCAAAGAAAATGTAATGTTGTTGGACAGAAGCTGCGTGTTGCATGAGAAGGAGAGCTCTGCATGCATCAACTGATATTCCCCCAGAGGCCCTGAGAGGTTGATGAGCTGGGCAGAGATTGCATTAATTGGCTTGCATTAGTTAAGACAATAAATTCAAATAAAAAGGAGAGGAGGAGGAGGCAATCAACTGTTTCTTGCAATTTTTAAATGACAACAGAGAGAACCCCTTCCAGCACAAGTCATTTAAAAAACAAGGTTGCCTCTTACCTCAATAGCCAACAATCTGTTCTCCAGATAATCCATCAGCCCCTGGTAGTAATGCTGAGCCCCAGTGAAAGTCCAGGCGATGGAAATGAGGAGGGCAAACAGCGGCTTCATTGTGAGCAGATCAATGTGACAGCTGAGCTTCTTTGTCCAGCTTAAAGAGGATTCCTCAGGTTTCTCTCTTTGATGTGATCCTCTGCAGACCTGTCCTCAGAGTGTCACAAAATCTATATGCAGCGTGCTGTAGAGGACTGGACTATAACATGCAAAAAGGTGAGAAGGATAGAGAGCGTAAGAGGCCGCTCTGAGAGTTTCCAATTCTTTGACCGCTCTCACTTTGCTGGAATGTTTTCACAAACTCTCAGGGAGGAGCCTTGAGCCTCTTACCCCTCTCTATCCTCAAAAAGTGAATGTGCTGCGCTCACTTTGGGCATGTGTGCTTGTTGCACATGTTGTACACACCATCTCAGGCACGTCAGCCGAGGTTACAGCACAAACAGGACATAACTAAAACCACTTGACAAGACATTTGTTTGCACACCATTGCTGGGTTTGTCCAGGTTCTAATATGATCCTGATAAAATCATCACGTATACCGTACACTGTGGTGCGTGTGATAAAAACATTATTTCAGCATGTATTAAATCACATTTCAGTTGACCTTTTTCACAGCAGACATTTTGACATTTTGACTTGTTCTTGCAGGAGAAGCACAGGTGAGACAAGTTGTGTTAACAATGGCTCATTTCCATCAAGTGTTTCAGTAACTCCTGAACTCTTGAACAATATTAAGACTTTGTAATTACCCAGGCCTTGTCCACGTGGTATTTTTATTTTCTTCTTTTAATCTGCTTTTTCTATGCATTTTGGCCTTTCACATGCAAATGCAGTTCTCAGTCACTGAAAAAGGACCTTTCAGAAACTCCTTCAAGGTTAAAGATATTCAGAAACTCAGTTTACAGTGTTTACATGCAGACAGGGGAAAATGGAGCTTTTAGTTGCAACGTTGAAGTGTGCACTCTTATCTGCACTAAATCGGCCACATGGCGGATGTGGCCGATATAGTACCAGTTGCTACAATGCTAACAGAACTTGACAAGCTTAGACATAAATGTTTCGTTGCTGCTCCACTATACTTAGGGAAAAAGACTTCAGAATCAGTCCACACATACAATTTCCTCCTTACTCAGAACAAAGGTAGCCTACAGTATTAAATCAAAACTTTAAAAATGCAACAAAAATCTGGCAGCAAGGCTGCCAGAAAACAATATGTAAAAAAAAAAAAACAAACAAACTGTGGAATACTGTAAAAATGGTGAAAGTACAGCAATTTGTAAAGTTATATTTTTTAGACATAAAACACTGTAAAATAAAATGACTTCATGTAATATTCTAAAAACAAATTATCATTTGTAAAAATAGCTGCACAGTGGCGCAGTTGGTAGCACTGTTGCCTCGCAGCAAGA